GATGGTAATTTGATGCTCTAACATTATGAGCTAGACTTCCCAAGAATACAACGCTGATTTTGTTGGAGAAAAATCGAAGAATAGGGTCGGATGGATGTTTTGGGGTTGCTTCGCAGGGCCAGAAGAACGCCCCTGCTTTTTTTTATTTGTATCAGATTTTAATTGCGTATGCAGCTTTCTAGCTATGACACAATATCAAAGAAAAGTATAGAAAAGATGACTCAATCTACAAGAAGAGTACTCATGCCTCAGATTTCATTTGCAAGTACCACTGCGAAGTTACGGTGGTTTTTTCTTCACGCAAAGTCAACCCTCGTCCGTGAATACCCACCCAGGGGAACGTGGCCTCTGTTTATTTTGGGAGAGTGAATGGGGTTCCATTAACTCCCAAAAATACTGCAAGAAAATAGTTCCTCTTATCGATGGCATGGTCTCCATGAGACCTTGGGATTCCGTAATGCAGGATAATGCTCCTGCTCACGCAGCAGCAAGTACAATGGAAGATATGAGCCAGAGGCTCGTTCAACCGATTTTCTGGCCGGCCAACTTGCCTGATCTTAACCCAATTGAAGCTGTTTGGAATAGGATGAAGAATTTCATACAGCGTCATCATCCGAATCTGGGTGGCGGAAAGCAGCGAACTCAAGATAGTCTTCGCAACATTGTAAAGGAGGCATGGGATTCCGTGTCTTCCGAAGATCTTGTGAGACTCACTCAGTGTATGCCAGCAAGATGTCAGGCTGTGATATATGCGGCTGGGGGACTGACCAGATATTAAGGCCTAAAAATATTCAAGCCAAAAGTTCGGATCCAAGTCTGGGATAAGACTGTGGCTCTATTTTGTGATTCGAATTCCTTTGAAGTCATGTAAATGATTTATAAGTCATTTAGCAAAAATGCACAAATGTCATGCAGCCGATCATTATACCAATTTGGCTTAGTACGAAGGAAAGACCCACTGCAAACTTGACCCCGCGGCTACATGGTACAATATTTTTATTGGATTCTGAATCAGCGCCTCGCTCATTGCATGACTTGCAAACTTACTTCCGGATGCGGCGCACTGCGTAATGCACACAAAGCACGCAAAGCTGGCATTGACGATATCCTAGCTCGGCAAACGCCTTTCACCGGGCCAGGCTGCCATTAACGACAGACGGGGGGGGCAAAGACTGAACACCTGTACGCGGTGTCCACGAAGCTTTGAGAGAAGTAGCCCCCCCAGGGCCAAGTTTAGACAAATTTCATAGTACCAAAGAAGTTGGCCCGAGGGCACAGCAACCCTCGGTGAAGTCTACAGATAGCTTCAAAATATATGGCAGGATACTAGCTGAATTCAGGTTATCTGCGAACTAATCTTTCGCTCTCAGCGGAGATAAGAAAAAGTCACGTGGAAGATGTGGCAGGAAAGGGAACGGGCGAGAAGCGCGGGATCCGGTCCAAACAGTATTTCTTCCAAATTTGATTTCAGTTTTTGATTTGTGTTTTTGATTATATTATTATTAATTCATTTTATTGTCCTGTCTGAGTCTATGGCTATGTAGGACATGCAGGTCCTCTCTGCCTACAAGCCAAGGATACCTATACCAGTACTATATCCCCTCCTATGCCTCCCATACAGCTCCCCTCAAACAGTACCACCCCTCACAAGTCCTCATTCGATCATACACTAAGAGGAGCCCTTAGCCCTTCATTATCTCCCCTCTCCAGCCAACGAAACGATGGCCATTTGCGGGTGTATGGCAATGTTTTTGATTATAGTTTTGCTGTTAACTGCTACAATTTCAGTAGAAGTTCATGCGGTTGGAATGAGTTGGGCCTGTACGCAGTGATCCTTACCGGCTCCACCGGTCCTTGACCCAATGTGGGAAAGATAGCGTTAGCTTAGGACCAAATGTATAAAAAAAAAAAGAAAAAAAAAAAAGAAGTTGGCTCAAGGGGCAAAGATTCATAACACCCCACCATGTCAAATCTTTGCTCCCAAGATCGATTCCTACCAAAGTCTCATCAAGTCTACAGGTACTACATAGTACATTATCACTTCAATGACCACATCTCTCACCGAATATTCTCTGGCATCGGCTGGTCGCTAAATATACGCCCACGACAATACAATATCCGCAGTGAGACAAAATCGTGGCGCACAAATCCGGGAGGCAGTTCTTTGGGATAGACGTTAGAGAAGTCAGCAAAAATTTACAAGATAATCCGAATCAAGAGTACAACCCCGGCAGGTATGAGATTTGGAATTTCCCAAGGAGATTTACATATTGAAGAGCGTTGTGGGTGCCAAACTTCCGATAGCAATATTGTAGTTGGCACTATAAAAACAAGCCAACGAGGGAAGGTGAACTCTGGTATAGTTTGAGTGGCCCAGGCACCTACTCCACTTGGGAAGGAGAGGCCGCGAACCATATTTCGCGAGAGGATAAGTCAATGAACGATGGAGGCATGTTTGAATAACTCAGGGTTTTGGAGACGTTTCCTCGTGTGGGTATTCACAAATGAGTGCTGACTTGGGGTGAAGAAAAGCCGCCATAACTTCGCACTAGTAGCTGCGAATGAAATCTGAGGCTTGAGTGCTCTTGTATATTGAGTCATCTTTTCTGTACCTTTATTCTGATATTGTGTCATGGCTAGGTAGCTACATTCGCATTTAAAATCTGATGGAAAAAAACAATTATAATGGCAGACGGAGCGATATCTAGTTTCCGACGAAAAAATATCTACCGGGTACGCATACAATCCATGACGGCATCAGTTTCCATTGATAATTGACAAGTCAAATTTAATACTGCAACTAAGTTTTAAAGCCGGTAGAAAGCTTTAGCAGCCATCTATTGCCATAGACCCGGTAGGGGGTTAAAAGTAACTCTACCCTTTTCTATTCGACTACGGTGTTGCGTAAACAAAAAGGCAACATACATGAAGGTCCTAATAATAGCTATGCAATCGTAGATAAAGATAAATTTGTGAGTGCCTGGGATAGCACTGAATTTACTGAGTCATCTCACTCCAGTCAATTTATGATATAGATCCATCCCTTCAAGTCTTCCTTCGTCGCGTGCCTTTGGCTGACTGTACAAATATCTGTAGGATAATATACATGTAATCTCACATTGAAGCTGACTATCTTACCCATAAGCCAATAAAAAAGTGCTAGAAAAATACATATCTATTCAGCAGGTCTTCTCTATCACTGACTATAAAAAGATGACCTTGATATGCACAACATCGACACCGACTTTGATCATTTTTTGGGATCGGTCGGTATGACAGATTTCATAAACTAAAAGTTTCTTTGCTCACTTAAAGTTATAAGGGTAATTTTGTAAGTATTTCGAACAACCGTTCAGAAGATGCAGGTATTCATGGTTGATAAGTGATATACTTCCTTGATGCTACAGATGATGAAGATGAAATTTTATTCGTGACAGGCACAAGCCCTGTGCTCAAAGAGCATGAAACGGAGAACACTAGCTTCTCCGGCGACTGTATGCAACAATAACTCAGTTTGACATTTGGACTACTCGTTTAGTGAGTGCATTCGCTGATACTACTCGAGACCTTGGTGCCAGGGACTTTCACCCTTCCCTCATCCGTTAATATCCACAAAAGGGAAAACATGAAAAATCATTGGCTACCCTAACATGCCTTTGCCGTCTTGTATATAGCCGCCGCGCGAGAGATAGCCTCACAGTCCTCCCTTTCTCGAGTGAAGTGGGTGTCCAGGCTACCTAGACTTTAATTCGGGGAGATGACGACCAGGAGGCGGACCAAAACACCTTCTATCGTTGCCTGTTTTTAGAGTATCGGTAGCACTATCCTAAATCGTTGCCTCGGCGCCCACAGATACCCTTATGTCGAAAATACTCGAAAAATGTACGTCCCAGCTGCCTGTCCTCCCTCAAGATGTGAAGCCCCATTAGAGCACCGGTTCCCCATAGACCAAGACCCGAGCTCTGTAGATTATGACTTGAATTCCTCCTCGCGGGTATACATAGCATCGACAATGTGTAGTGGGAGATGGCCGGTTTTTGATCAGGCAAATGCCCGATTGCAATTGAAGTAATGCCGTTATGGGTATTTGAGGCGAGGTGGTATGGTAAAATTGAGGTGGAGGACTCGCGTGAGAATGATAGGTCCAACATTGACGATGAGTCGTCGATTTTAGATGTGCTTGCGAGTGCTTTCGACTTTGATTTGGATGCGATTCTTCTTGGCTGTCACAGATATGCAAAGCATACTGAGCGATTACACCGGCACCACTGGAAGGTGAGAATTCGTCCTTTGCCGGCCTTGATGATACAGAATTGCTATTTATATTACATTCGGATTAAGCATTATCCTAACGTCAGAATCCACAAATCAAGGATAACTCAACGAAATGCAGGAACCACTTATTCTAAATTAAGCCAGTGACATAAACTACTCTTACAGCGTCTGTTTTTTGTGATTATTTCTAGACTGTATGAGCAGTATCATTAGTAAATTTGTAACCTGAGAATCAATGCAGAAATACGATCAGTTCTCACAGAGTGGAGCATTGGATACAATTTTCTAAAAACCTGTCCTGATTTATGTTCCGTCGAGGTATTATTAGATTTAGTTGTATGCTAATTTAATTTATTATGGTGTGAAAGTGTATTCTTGCATTGAGGAAATATTTCAGTTGGTTAGGTATCACATTGGCTACGTGGTAACTTAGTATTACTTTGGGTGACATATATGTAGATACAGCTCGTGTGTACGAGCAGGAAAGCACTCAAAAAGCCGCGACCTTGTCCCTCTTAAATACAGCTTCGTATGAATTAGAAATCTAAGATCTTTTTAAACAATGATTAATCTTCAGTTACAGGCTGTGCATTATTAAGCAAAAGCCCCCGACAGTATTCTAATTACCAGTTTTTCCTTTACCATATACTCGAAGATTCCGATTATGAGATGTTTATCCGTAGGTTGACTTTATCTATTCTGTTGTAGTGCTGGACTGGCATATTTTAACATGACACATCTAAGCTTGCTTTTGAGTTCATGAGAAGTGCAACAATTAATCCGTATAGACCTATATTGTGTTAGCAAATCATGAATTGAATTACATGAGATATTGAAGAATTCCAGAGGAATTTAGCTGGATTGAATCGCCGAACAGCGAAAATTCTGAAGCAGAAAGGGGTGACGTGAGGAATAGGATGTAATCTAGGCATAATCTTACCCAATACTTCAGCAAAAATTAGAATAAGAATCATGCCGACGAAAAGCCTTGGCTGCTGCGCAGTACCTCTAACACCAGCATCTCCAACAATTCCAATGGCAAATCCAGCAGCCAGACCTGCTAAGCCTACACTGAGACCGGCACCGAGCTGTATGAAACCGGTGTATAGAGGCAGTTGTTGTTTCAAACCATCTGAAATCAAAACGGATACTACGAGACCGTAGATACCGATGATACCGGCCATGATAACAGGAACAATGTCTGTGATTAGTGTCAGCTGCGTACCGAATTCTCGTCCACACAGGCTTACTCTTAACAATGAGATCAGGTCTGAGAACACCCATCGCACAAATACCAACACCTGATTTAGCGGTTCCATATGCTGCGCCAAAGCAGGTGAATACGATGGCAGCTGTGCAGCCCATGGCGCCAAAAAACGGCTACATTCTAATTAGACTATTCCCATTGCATTTGTCTGAAGCTTGTCGAATTTTGACTATTCTGAACGTGACGAGGGTTGAAGGAAGAAAGCGAGAGTACGAACCGCGTATACCGGGCTGTCGAATTTTAATCAGCAAATATTAACATTGAGTACATAAGAGGTTTGGTGCCAAAGATTTTGAGGCTCGTTAAGAATTGTGACTTATCAATGACTTACCAATAAACTAAGCTCTCTGAAACGTCCATGTTGATGAAATTTGGACTAAACTGTGTGGAATGAATGATTGAACAACTCGTTGTGTAGATTGAACTGAATGATTTAAAAGCTTGATGTTAAGAGCAGGAGAAAGTGTTAGGGGGCGGAAGACATGGTTACGTGAAAGAAGTCGATCACAATTCTGACTAAGCTAATGGGGGCTAGCGTTGAAAATCAAAATTATTTTTACCGAATCTCATTCCGAAGGGTATTCTCTGTTACTTTAGTCGCATTGTCAATTCGATAAAGCCTCAGCAAATTGAAGATAAAGCATCGGGGCGAGCAAACGCAAGGAACCCTGTTCGCTAAATTTGGATTTAAATCAGCTAGTCTTACAAAACAGTAAGGAAACATCACGCACTCCCTCATCGGAAGCGATTAACCATCACTAGCGAATAATCTCAAAACTATCCAAGTAATTAATATGGCAGATGAGCAGAATGGATCAGCAGCTTGGCCTGTCGCCGATGCTGCACTTCGGCAAGAGATTCTCGATATTGTGCAGCAAGCCTCTCACTATCGCCAGCTAAAGAAAGGAGCCAATGAAGCAACCAAGACTCTCAATAGAGGAATTGCAGAGCTAATTATTCTGGCGGCTGACACTGCACCTCTAGCTATTCTATTGCATTTACCGCTATTATGTGAAGATAAGGTGAGGCAAATCCCAGAAATTGTATACCAATCCTAATACATGAGACTAATTGGGCCATTAAAACCATAGAACGTACCCTACTGCTATGTTCCGTCTAAAACTGCTCTAGGACGAGCTTGTGGTGTTAGCAGGGCCGTAATTGCTGCCAGTATCACTACAAATGAGGCCTCTGATCTGATGAATCAAATAAGGGGTTTGAAGGATAAGGTGGAGAGGCTTATGATATAAACTTACATAATACTTTATTTTTACAAATGAAGAAATTCCATGACGTCTCTTTAATCAGAACTATTAGCCTCGCATCAGTTTATCATTTTCGATCTCGCTAGCACAGTTGAAGAATAACTATACTGTGTTTCTACCCCTCGGCTACAGAATCAGCCTCGTACGGCATCGCTCGGCTATTCTACAGTCCAAATAAGATGCGCAAGTCCTCCCGGTCAATCATCAACATGACCACTGAAGTCTATAATTCGAACTTCTGGGCCAGATATTATATTTCGTCTCCACAACTGTAATGTAAAAGTTAGCTCAATCAGGCCTTGAAATCGTACACATCATTCTCAGTAAACGTGTGCGAATCTAATCTAGTAGCAAATCCAATGCGTACTGAGAATGCATGGTTCCAATGAAAGACGGGGACAGTGAAATCTTTGGCTCAATAAGAATTTACTTCCCGCTTATTTGAGAGGTGATATCATGTACTATTCAACGTTTGGGATAGTGGCTGCACTTCCTAAAAAATTTATATTTTGCTGAAACCAGTGTATTTTTTACATGATCATGCGCAACAACGATAAAAAAGGAAAGTGACACACATTTTGAGCATCCTATTTCCTATCAAGAAGCTCCGGAGTTGTAATTCCAACCAACCAACTCAAATTCATGTCTAACACATCTAACCCCGAGCCCTAAAACAAAGGTCTGTATATAACTAATGACCAAACACAACTAAGTTAAAATATATTTTGCAAATATTCTTGCTAATGAGAACGACACTTTCTCATCTGTAGTTTTGCAAGCTAATTTTTGATTATATACTTTATGTCTTCCTCGCAACTCGTAGGGCCTGATAGTTCAGTGGTAGAATTCTTGCTTTGGGAGACCAAGCCTGTAAGAGGTCTCCGGTTCGATCCCGGATTAGGCCCGAAGTATCAATTTTGGCCCTCAGCACACCTTAGATAGTCTTTCTGCATTATAAATGCCGGTACGCTCCACAAATTATGAAACAAATTGAGCATGTAATCTACAGACGACGTTGAGTTTGTTAGATAGCTCGAGAAGGTTTTCATAGTCTTAGAGTCAACAGATTCCTACACTATATTACATTCTTCCTTTGCCTGAGATAATGTATGATCTAGCGTACGTCTTTTACATCTGTCTTCAAAAGGAACTACTCCTCCTGGGTCTCTATTCGCTCTTACGCTTAGAGTCTTTACTATCATAGTTCCTATCTCCTTTTTTTGCATCAGATTTTAATTTCGTATGCAGCTATCTAGCTATGACACAATATCAAAGAAAAGTACAGAATTGATGACTCAATTTACAAGAGGAGCACTCATGCCTCAGATTTCATTTGCAGGTACCACTGCGAAGTTATGGCGGCTTTTACTGCACCCCAAGTCAACCCTCATCCGTGAATACCCACCCAGGGTAACGTCTCAAAAACCCTGAGTTATCCAGACATGCCTTCGTCATCCATCAAATTTTCTCCGCGCGGAATGTAATTTGAGATGTCTCCTTCCCAAGTGGAGTAGGTGCCCAGGCTACGCAAACTATACCAGAGAACACCACCAGGAGGCGGTCCACAAAGCCTTCCATGGTTTGCTTGTGTTTATAGTGTCAGCTGCACTCTTTAGTTCCTATCATGACTCTTCATAAGAGAGAGAGGTTTGTTTATTATACTGCTTGAGTCTTAGGCAATCGAGCACATTAGGCTCCTCTCTAGTCCAGGCCACACCTTATACAGTGCTTCTACCCTCTTTTGTTAATTGAAAGATCATTATTATCTTACCCGTGATGATTAGCCATTCAGCTCAGTGTTTACCCGTGGAATTCGGCCACCTTTTCCACAGAACCTTCTACCCAAAAAAACAAAATGGTAGCAATGGAAACTGCGTGCGCGAGAAAAAGTCTCAAACTACAGCCTCAGCCAGGCGATGCCTAGACACCGGGACCACATGAGGTGCGCATATTCATCTATATCTCCCTTCTTTGTAACAGTCGAGGTCGACTTGATCCAATCTACCATCTCCGTATCGGGTGCTGGGTACGCTCCGGAAACTCATCCGATGACTTTTCCTCCATGATCAAGGGTTGGTGATGAGTAGGGCTCCGACCCTACCATCTGATCTGATCGTGGTTAGCTTCATGATAGTGGTGATAGGGGAATGTGTTGAAAGATGAAGACGATACAGACGGCGAAAGCGATTGGGAATCCTCGTCGGAGTGAGGACTTTGTTACTCAATCTCGGCTCTGTAGACTCTACAGTGAGAGCTGGAGGTTCGTAGGGGACACCACTGACAGGTGCTGAGAATCGTTCCCCTACTCGTGCTTAAGCTCCACTAGAAGTACGTCAGTTGTCATGTATGTTTATATATATCGGTTGGCGGGTGCATGCTAGCATGTGGGTTCCAACCAGAAATAAGCCCTGTTAAAATAGAAGTTTGGTAGTGTAGCGTAAGCTGTTAGACTTATGTTTAATATCACCCAGTGAAGCGAGTTGAGAGATTGAAGAGTCTGAAAACTGTAGTGGAGAGTTGTTGATTAGAGCCACTTAGTATCAGAGCGCTATTTATACTAATTACTACATCTAAGTGGAGGACTCGACTCACTTGTTCATGCTAAATGGTTGGGAGGCTGATCAATGTATGAGTCGTCATGAAGCTGGCAAGTAACATTAGAACCTTAAAACGTTCCGTATTAATGCGACTCTTCATTGCCAAGTAGCGCCAATTTCAACAAGCCCAGGTCATTGATTGTCTAGGTATTTCGGCTATCATAGTGTAGTAATCATAATTACTAGGACCCCTAACCTGAGCATATAATGATCCAAGAACATCGTAGATCGGGATTATAACTTATGTAGGTGGCTTGTGGCAATAATTTATCCAGCGCGTGACTATGTATACAAACAGGCACACGCATCTTCCGTGGAGAGCTAGACAACGATACATTTATAGGGCTCAAAGCTGTGATACATTGACCGCATTGGTTCGCTAGGCTGTCCAAACTGATTTTAAATTCACAGTGGATGACCACATTGAGAGATAAGGTCACTTCCGCCGCCTCACTTCCCCAGTGAGACTCTCACTAAGTCTAACTCCGAGGATTTCCATACCATAGTTTCCGCCTCTTTCGTTACGTGGGCTCATTCCCTTCATGTCTAGATGAACGACTGCCATTTCTCGGTGGGAACCGTAGCCAACAAAGTATTAGAGTAGACGATAGCTAATTCAATATGACAACTCTCAGCGACAAAAAGCCATTAGAGGCGAGGGAGCTTGATCATGGTTCGTTGGTCTCTACGAGTAAAGGTAGATTGTATCACAGGTGCAGAGTGGACGGCTTTGTCACGGCCTCGAAATGAAGAGTAGCCTAAGTATTTAAATATGCAGCCTGCACCAAAAATGGCTCTATGTTCATGCTAACTATTCTTATACCAAGGGTAGCCATTATAATCCTCGGCCATAATACTGGACGCGTGATGATGAAACTACTGAGCGTCATGAGAGATTCAGGTCTTCCGATAAATATGGATTTGATATCGCATATTTTCCAGTGGTATTGGATACCGAAGAGCCTCTGGGACTCTAAACCAAGTTGATTCGTGACTCATGATCTTCGTCCAGTGAGGAGGCATATTTTCCGACTCTCTGCTGGGGGTTTGGAGTAAGCAGTAATCGAGAAGCCAATGTATCGGATACTTTTTAGTATCTGCACCGATATTGGTCTCTGAATAACTACCAGGACTATCAACAACAAGTAGAATGGAATTCTTCTGAAGTGATGCGGTTAGGTCTAGGAGTAGCTTTGTTGTGCTGCTCACAGAGTGGCTGTAAAGCTCATTTAAGGTGAAGAAAAAGGTTACAAGTATCGGCTTTCTCCCAGTGAGCTGAGCTATCTGCTGTGCACTCATAGAGAGCACGTCTACCTGATGGAAATTAATGCAAAGGTCGGATCGGTCTAGCATGGGACGATTGTTTCCCCTGCTTGAGGCACTGGTATACTTCGAAGTCTTGGGCGGCTCGATAAGACTTTGGTTCAATTCATGTATCACATTTTGCCATGGGGCACGATCCACAAGACGTACTTCTATTGGAGCACTGGTGGTATCTGCATTCAATGGACAATCAAGTGATTGGGCTGGGTACTCTTTTGACTCTCTCCACTGGTTCTTGAATGCTTGCTTCGAATATCGAATGAATCCACCGAAAGCAACGGCTTCTGCTGCACCGCCCCCAACACATAAGACTGCCACTCTGCTCTCGTGCGAGGTTTTAGCTTCCATTGCGCACTGGGCTTGATCCGGTGCGAGACACGGAAAGATATCTGAGAGATACTCCTTGGTCTCAGCTAGAATAGTTTGATAGCATAGCGCCCTACTAGGACTCCAGCGAACGGCGTAGGCTTCTAGATACTCTTGGGTCTCAAAGGCTCGTTGGAAATCTCGTTTGTAGAGTGCGCCCTTGATCTCCTGTAAAACCGACGGCAAAGAGCCCGAAGCCAAAACTTGCGGAAATGAATCCTTGAATATGTTCAAAAGCAGTTGCTGAAGATTTGTAGGAATCTTGGGCTCATGTGTATCATGTTTAGTGGCAGAATGCTTCATTTGTGAGACTGCTTTGCTTTTGTGTACGGCTGAGCTTGGGTCTTTTCGGTCCTGGCGGGACCTTGGCATCTTTCTCCCAAGATTAAAGCTCGTGTTGACTAGACACAATATGTGGTCCGCCAGAAATTATGGCGATAAGTAGAAGGAAAGGTGCATTACTGCCACGCCTCGTTAAACATGATCGGCCGAAACGTCAAATTTGACGCCGATGCCGTCAGTGAAGGGAAGCCTAAGCAACTTCAATGATTTTCACCATCTCATTGAAATATAATATTTTTGACAGGAGAATGGTTGGATTAGCTTTCAACACGGTAGACACACAAGTTCTTTGAGCAGCACCTTTTTTCTATTAAGGCTCCGCACTAGTAAGAAGTTCACGTACTACATACTCTTTGATTGGGAAAAGGTTTTCTCTCCAAGTCAAGCAGGAAGATTGTGGTGGGCCTACCATAGAATTGAACTAATCATGGATCCTAAAGCCTCTTCAAACTTGCTCTGCGCGACCATGAAGCTTTCACTAACTTGAAACACTGCTCCACGCCCCGACGAGGAAGATGAAGAGTACGAAATTCAACATACTATGGCGATCTTCTCTGTGAATCATTGAAGATATTTCTACTTGAGATTCAAGTAGAAATCAATTTATTCAACCCAAATTTTTTTTCCAGGAGGCAGTGATTCATGACTTCCAACCACTTCTAACCTTCACTACCGACAAGGTGGATTCGAGCCAGGGCCTCACCAAGTCTACGATTTCGATATATTACACAATACTTTTGATGATTAGACCTCTCTTCGAACCAATCTCTGGCTCTAGCTGGCCCCTAGATACATGCCCGCGACGATAAGAATATCCGCAGGCGGACAAGAATCATGGTTTACAAATCTGGCGGGGCAGGGCTCGAGATAAATATGAGAGAGATTTGGATAGATAATAAAGTCTATGCCAAGGGCTGATAGAATCTTAGACAGAGGTAGATTTCGATTTTTGGATAGGAGTTTCCCACATAGTCCTTTGTTCCGTAAGTTGCTTCGTATGCTTGAGTAGAGAGGACACCAGAAACACTTACGTAGCTACACGGTGGAGTGGTATATCATCTGGGCAGGCCTCTGCGGTATATTCTATATATCTTGGATACCTTACCCTCTAGAGACCGAAGATTACTGGATGAAATCAAGCAATAATAGACCGGATACTTTGCACTTTTTTTGAATCATTTAATATCTATATAGCTGTACAGCTATGACACATGACCGGTGCTATGTATACATATTGGATGACATTTTTGACGTTGGAGACACTCATACTCTGGATTTCATTCGCAAATACCACTATGAGGTATGCTTGCTTACACAAACAGTCGACCCTCCGCCGTACGTACCCACCAAATGGACGTTTCAAAACCTTTGGTTATCCAAGCATGCCTTCGTCAGCCATATAATCTTGCACCGCGAGAAATATGGCTGTGTTTTTCTTGATTCGAACCAGCGATCTACTGTCTCGAGTGGGATACGTGTCCTAACTATTTCTCGCGGCCCTGGTATGCTTGGATAACCAAAGGTTTCGAAATTCATTTTGGTGGGTACTTACGGAGGAGGGTCGACTGTTTGTGTAAGCGAGCATACCTCGTAGTGGTATTTGCGAATGAAATCCAGAGTATGAGTGTCTCCAACGTCAAAAATGTCATCCAATATGTATACATAGCACCGGTCATGTTTAAGTTGTCAAGTCCTGGGTTAAACCCACTACCCCCTAAGGCTCAAAGACCGGTGTTTACAGCTAAGATCAAATCTATGATACGCCCAGCTTGTTCCCACCACGTGAACCACTATACAAATAGTAGCTAGTTAAATTACATGCAGCCATATAAAAAATAGAAATCATGACATAACTCCAGGCTCCAAAATTTTGAGCTCCAACTAAATATCAGCACTTGTGGTTGGGAAGCAAAGCTTCTCGCCTCGTTCCCCTTCCGATCGAGTCATGTTACATGACTAATTTATATGGACCTCGCTGAGAGCAGAGGTCCAGCCGACAGCTGGTCACCCATAACATCGGGTTTTCTGTGCAAAGTTTCTGAAGTCTTCGAGGCACTTGGGTCCGAGAAGTTGGTGTAGGAAGTCGTCGTGGGACTTAAGACCTCGGATTCGACGTGTTTCGTGAGAATATAGTCGACAGTGTATGAAGTGGGTTGGACCAGTCTCTTTCCCACACGCGCACTCACTTGGTGCGTCTGCATTGTTGAATCGGCGATGATAGGCCGCAAAATTGTCATGTCCCGTACGGACTGCAATTAGTTCACGGAGTAGATGTCTTGATAGAGCTAGCTCTGGCGGCTTGCGCCGTTTCATGAGCAGATCTAGCTTTCGATACCGAACAGGACACGCTTTATCCCACCAATCGCTGAGCAAAGCCTGTAGCCGGTTGTTCATGGGACGGCGAAGGTATGCAAACGAGATAGATCCTGCTTGACTGTCCAGACTAGGCAACATTCGTAAACCGGAGCGCGCAATTTCGTCTACTTCTTCGTTCACCTGTATTCCTGAGTGACCGGGGATCCACTTGACTGTCACGATAGCTGATGCTGAAAGCATGCGAAAATGTCGTACCTCATTGAGGCTGGTTGAAGAGATGCCCGTCTCAAATGCTTTTACAGCATGCTGACTGTCCAGCAACACAATCATTCGCCGTATTGCCCCCCACTACTGATGTTGCGCTTCTTTTATTCTCAGCGCCGCCTAAAGAGCCTTTAGCGCCCCTGTAATTTCTGCGTCCAGGACCTCTCCTCCGTATTGGATACCATTCTCCTTGTGGAGAGTTTTACCGAATCTCTTCAAAACAAAACCCCAAGCTGAACGTCCGTTTCCCTGCGAAGAGCCGTCTGATTAGGCGCAAATTTCTGTTGCGGGCACGTTGTCTGTCCAAAGTTTGCTCGCTTCTTTTCCTTCTGACTTAGTCATGGATCTAGCAGAGTAGGATGGCGGCGGCAGAGGCGTCGAAGCTTCTGCGTCCGAAAGTTGTCGATAAGCTCGCTGTTCACGAGTCCTTTGTCCATCTACATGATCAAATCCTCGTGGATTCTTCTTGTACTTTCGGATCCCAACGTTTGGGCACATCGCAGCACGAGATCTCAGCGGGTGCTGATCATCGAGGGTTTTCATTCTGGCTGAAAATCGTAGTAGGTTTCCCTCTAGAATTATGTTTGCGGGAGGTATTCCTCCTTCCCTGTGCAGGATAACGTTAGGAGTAGTCCGCAGAACTGGAAGTGCAGATCGGAGACCCATCATTTTGGCCTTGTCGATCATAGTACAGAGGCTCGCGGTAGCTGGCGTGGCTATTCCTGCTCTTGTTGGGCGTTTGAAGCCTGGTCACTAGACTTCCGCACCAAAAGTCGCGATTGAAACAATAAAACTGTTTGCTGCTCGTATCAGCGCTCCTGGTGCGGCTCCTCGAAATGTAGATGTCGAATGGCCTAAAGACTTAATGACCTTTCATGTATTATCTTAGAAATGATAATTGTGTTGATCAGTATTGAGTTACCTGTTTAGGAATTGCGTCAGGAGAGAGGACAACAGCTGTATATACGTGTTTCTTTTACTTAAAAGAGGGGAAATAGAAGATATATGTTAACCACCAATTGTTATTACTGCTACAGAAAGCTTGTGATATAAATACCACTCGAGTATTCCGACAGTAGAATTGAAACGTCGCATAAGATGTGCGACTTTCATTGCTCTTCCGGACCAAAAAATCACATGATGCTTGAAATTAAGTCGCGGATCGAGGTGAACTCCAAGCCAGCGAGTATGTTCGGCTGGCTCTATTAAAGTGCCGTTTACACGGACGCCAACAGCTGCCTCGCGGTGCCGAGGTGGGAATTGTACTACCTCTGCCTTTTCTGTGTCAAAATGGACGGCATTCTCCTGCGCCCAATCCAGTAGGTGATCAACTCCCTTCTAAGCAGCGGCAGAAGACTCAGCAGTAGTGTGGCCAAATCCAAGAATGCCGATGTCGTCAGCGTAACTAAACCTTAGATCGGTCGTACCGCTGCGCATTGGTTCTACCATGTAGAGCAGGAAGAGAAGTGGAGAGATCGGCGAGCCCTGCAGGACTCCGCAGACTAGTTGTCGCTCCGTCGTATCTCCTTCCGAGTGTCATACTTGGACCATTTGCTGTGCAAGGAACGACGTTGTCCACTTTAAAACTGAGTCTGGCCATCCTTGTTCTTGCATTCTTCTCACTAGGCGGTCATGAAGAACTGCATCGAACGCACCTTGTACATCCAAGGTGACGAAAGTAGCCGCCCATCCCTGAGTGCGCGCCTCCTCGACATCATGCACCACACAGGAGACTAGGTCTGTTGCTGAGCGTCTCGAGAAAGCGCTGAATTGTTGCCGACCAACCACATCACAAGTTACTGCTAGGTGAGCCATCAATTTTGTTGTTATTTATGCGACAGTGGAGTTAAGAGTATACTGCATACCAGCTATATATTCAGCTGCGTGTGGATACTTGCTCTCGAAATCAGATTCCTTATAATATAAATATATATATAATTTATTGTGTGTATTATAACTACAACTATTGGTGCTCCTTTTCTTGTTCTTACAATTATCTACACACTTTACAATTACGGAAAGTGTGGAATTCTAAGCGAGACACGTGATACAATTACAGATTTATCGCATGACTTTCAACAAATTTTGCCAGAAGCCTTTCTAGCCCTTTACCAATGCAAGAAAGGAGGGTAATTGGTCTCCAACCTTTGAATGTCGTTGGGTCCTTCTTAGGCTTCTGTACAAGAACCACTTCGGCCAATTGGAAACAAGTCGGGTGCGTACTAAGTTGTATACAAGCTCTGAAGAGTTTGACTATGTATGGTCAAATTGTCTCCCAGTAGGCCACTAGCAGCTGTACGGAAACTCCATCTACTCCTGGGGCCGTGTTTCTATAGCCAATGGTACAAGCTCGGACTTCTTCCTCGGAGATTTCATCCTTCCATGGTATTCGATTATTGCTCGCGGCAGTGCATGGTGGCAGGTCGTCCGATGTTTGGTGTCTTGCAAGG